GGGGAAAAAAAATTAAATGCAAAGCACAAATGACACTCCGAAAATAGGCAAAACAAGCCTAGTAACTAGATCGACTACAGGGATAAACTAATGCGATCAAGACAACATTTCAGTCTGTCCTTGTATAAGTTGTCCAATCTTCTACAACGATGGTATCAGTTTGTCCGTCAAACGCCGGATCCTTGTAATCTATACAACTTTTTATTACTTCATATTTGCGCAGCAGGAGACTTTGCAAATATTTTATGGTCGTGTCCACAAGCCCATCCATGAGTGTTTTGAGTGATTGTTGTTCCATGATCCTCCTTCGGAATTCTTGCCATCGTCGTTCATTGATGTTGTCTGCATTGGAAACAGTTGCACTTGCAGAATAGTCATTATAAATAAGGAAAGATACTTTGCATTGACCTCGAACAGTTGCCGCTGCACAAAAGAGGGTCATCACGTTGAAATTGTTGTGGCAGAATTTGACTGCTGAATAATACAATTCCGAAAAGGGTGCGAGCACTTCTCGCGGGTATGTTATCGTTCCACAATACCTCCGACCACAAATATACAGTGACTCTTGAGGAGAATGTTCATAGTCTTCCGGTGGGGCATCCACATCTCTAACACTGAGTACTGCACTGTCAAAGATCACTTAAGATGTGAAGAAAACTGGACCCATATTATGCCATATATTTCTTCCCCACACCATGTTACTTGGCGGCCATCCAGTCGTCACAAGTGGTTGAACCATTCTGCAACACATGAAAATACAGTTTAAATATATATAAATGAAAGTTCAATGACAACTAAATAACGTACTAATACGTGTAAAGAAATACGATTAGTTCTTCTTCAAAACCTATTGAAAACCTACTGATCTTCATTATCGGAAAGTAAAAGGCATACCAAGGCCTTCTCTCTGACCGATTTTGGAATGTGCACTCCATTTTCTAAATGCAATGTCTTTGATGTCCAGCTCCATACAGCACAGGCTACATGATGCCACTGCTGTGATGTTGTGTTATCTTTCTTCCATGTCTTCTTCCATGTGTTCGAATATTGCACAGAAAGACGTTTAGCAATAGGTTGTGGCACCCAATATTCAATAAGAATATGATTGAAAGTTGACGACTTCATATCGTTGTCTACATCGGAAATGACTCTACTCATTCATACAGAAACTCCCTCATCGATATCATATTGGGAAGGACGTAAGAGAACGAATTGACCTTTTTCGACATCCACAACTGGGTTGAGCTCCGCCTTTGGACGCTCATTGGCCGGTCCAACGAACAACGGCTCCTTATTCTCATTGCTCTTCAAGAGGAAGGCAATATCAATATCGTATGGATCATCCTTCTTAATTTTGTCTTGTGAGGGTCAGAAGCCAGCCTTGAGTGAAGTTTTCGCAAACCCAGACCCGTAATGCTCCTCGATTGTCTCAAGGAAAGTTTTCCAGTATGAAAGAGCACTCTGCTTTAAGAAGCTAACCTCATCTTTCATTCCCAACCACTCGTGCCGCTTATTCTCCAACCACCCAACAAACATCTTCACACTTTCAATTCCCGATTCGAAATCCGAATTCCTATCTTTAGTAGGCACAGAAGCTGACGGCGGAACAGGTGATGGCACTTTTCACTGGAACAAAGGATTATGATCCTGCATATAAAACCTAAATGCATGTGGATGAGTATGACCGGTCAGTCTCTTGACCAGGAAGGGTTTAATAGCAGCTCGCCAATCAGCAATTTCATCCATGAATGTGCACGATGGACGTTCTTTTTTAGAACTGGCAACGAGCTTGAAGAGGTCGAGCATGGTATATGCATCGTGCATTTTCAGTTTGCGAGAGAAATGACTGAAAGTGGCATCAACGTCCGTATGTGTGTGTCCCACTAACATAAAACTGAATTCGACTTCTTTGAAGAAGCCGAATTTCACCAAAGCTGCAGCGAGTGCTAAAACGTATCTGTTTTTTTTTTCTCTCCAACAGTTGTCAGCTTGTATCCTTAGTTTAGGACGCAAGTCGCTCGTCGCCTGGATGTCACGGAGAACTTTCATAATGGATGACACTACAGAATTAGAATCATGTGGATAGCAAGGGTACCATGTGTGAACATGGACCGATGGTGAGCGGTCGTGTGCAATAATAGTTGTTAGATTCGTTTTCAACATCGGAATATTTGCGAATGCCTTCGATTTGTTCTCTCCGCCAAACTGTGGAATGCTGGTCTTGCTTTGGTCCATGCCGTCAATGATGATGCAGAAACTGTTGGAACCCGGTCTCTTCGACTCATCCTTCCACACCTCATACGCAGCACGATGTTGGAGCTGTAAGTCCAAGTGTTTCTCGCGTAACGAAACAAAGTACTCACGCACACGCACGAACTTTGCGCAATTGATAGATTCTTTGTATTCAACACATTTCTCGCATTTCGCAAAGTTTTGATCAATGTCATGGAATTTCACATGCCAGAACTGTGTTTTCCACATGTTGTAAAAAACTTGCAGAGAAACACAAGGAGCACCCATGTTGTCGAATTGCGACTTTAGCAACTTATAAATATCAACCTTATTATAGCAAGCAGGCAATCTCAACACCACTTTTGATTCCCCCTCTTTGGTCTTCATGTCATTGGGCATGGAATCTCCGTTGTCTCGCACGAAGGAGCTTAGTTCCCATACATCGTCGCATATGTTGTTAATGTGCGTCTGAGTCCAATCTGCCATGCTCCGACATATTGTAGCCTTTTGACAAAGTCATCCTTTTTTTGATAAATGTATTCCTACATACACCCAGTGCGAAACACCAAACACTAATGCACATCTTTCGTCTCCCCACAATAGGTTGAACAATCTCCTTTTCATCTTCTATGACGGTGAACCTCTTCAACATTTCAACCCACCAAGCATCCCTGCTCTGCAGGTTCTTAGAGTAGTATGCGCTCCGGACAACTTCGATGTCGTCCAAGGTCATTTGAGAGCAACACTCCGCTTACAGCAAACCTGCCCACGCACACTCGCCATTGCTTTTTTGGTGAGTTTTCTATGAACTGATTGCAGAATCTTCTTTGACCGCGGCATTCTGAGACGAAAAAGTATAAGGACGCTTCTCTGAGGACAAACGTTTTGGAAAAATGTCATCGAAATCAGAGATCACGTCACAATTCTCATAGTCATTTCGACAACAGTGGTCACTGTTCCGGTCATCGTACGTTTGCGGAAGATCGGTTTTATCTGGAGAACTATCATCACTAGACGACACCGAAGCCCTTAACCACCTTCATCACCCTCACCAAACGGAAGACCTGTGTACTCGAAATCTCAAAGTGAACTCATCGGCACCCATAGAACACGATCTACATCGGATGCGTCGTTGTCAGTAGAGGAGGCATTACCCTCCTGACCTTCAGCACTCTCTGCATCACAAGTTCGAACCGGGCATCGAAGGACGGGATACGCACTTTCACATGTAGTGTCCGCACAGGCAATATTTCGTGACCTCTTACGAGCAGGAGATTCCGGAACAATATCGACATGTTCGTGACCACTTCGAACATCTTGTGAACACATTGGCAGGTGCGGTGGAGGAAAATCCTCATTGAGCATTGTATTAGACGCCACACAGTCCATGCTTTCCAAGGTTGTGCTGCAAGCCTGCTGTGGCATAGCATGCACACCACAAGCCATGCATGAGATGTGTCTGCGACAACAAAACAGCGAACCACTGTCAAAAGGCGAAAATCGGAGGTCAATGAAATAGAGCAGACAACCATCCCTACACAACAGCGAGAAACACAACCCTACAAATGACCCTGAGAAACACAGCCCTACACTGGACAGAGGGGAACAGGAAACATCCGAGAGAGGATAACACACGACCGTGAAATCAGGGCAGCAATCCTGTCATCAGGCCCAATCCGTGCCAAAAGCGCAATACACGGGAAAGAGTCTGTCCAAGTCGGAGATCAATCGACACTGGGAAGTGTAGCACATGTCGAGTCGGGGCACCAGCAACCGGAAACACAGCGTGCAACAACATTGAAAAGGCGGAGATGTTGACGCGCAAGAGGAAACGCAGCACATGTCACATCGGGCACCAGCTTCGGAAAGGCATAGACCACGGCGCGCAAAACCCAGCGGGCACCAACAGTGGAACGACGAAGACTCTGGCGCGCAGCACACAGCTTGGGCACGAGGGCATTGATAGGAAAAATTTTATATTACTCCAGGAACTACAGCGACTGAACACGAGTGGTAAGCGTGGTAATCACCACCCACGCAGAGCGGGCAGGAAAACTGCCACGAGTGAGCAGGAATACCATCGTGGCAACGCGACCGTACCATCGTGGCAAAGCGACCGCCTCGCCCAACACGGAAGGGTCCCCCGTCTTAATCACCACCCACGCAGAGCGGGCAGGAAAACTGCCACGAGTGAGCAGGAAAACCATCGTGGCAACGCGACCGTACCAACGTGGCAAAGCGACGGCCTCGCCCAACACGGAAGGGTCCCCCATCTCGATTCCCGGCACACGTGGTACTCACCACCCACGCAGAGCGGGCAGGAAAACTGTCACGAGTGAGCAGGAAAACCATCGTGGCAACGCGACCACCTCGCCCAACACAGAAGGGTCCCCCGTCTTGATTCCCGGGTACCAGACTCTGAGGATTCGAAGCAAAATTCGCGCAGAGTTCATTCTACGGCGCACGATGGGTTTCCAGATAGCCAGGTTGAGAAGGCAAACGACTGCAGCAAAGCCAATGTCGCGCCCAACACGACAGGAGCTCCATTGTATATTACAAGGTGGGGGTCGTGGCGCAATCTCGCAACAAGCAGTCAGTGCTACAAGAGATAAAAGATAGTCACCCGGGCACTATATTCTGTTGGCGCAGCTTGCACTAAACTCTGTGCAAGTCGAAACATAGGTGGGGGTTGTGGCGAAAAAGAGCAAGCTGTTCGACATGACCTTGATGGCATTCGACACGACCAAGACCGCGTTTGACCGTGGCGGACACGACAACCACCGTGCTCGTCATGACGGCCACCGTGTCAGACCCGACGACCATCGTGCCGGACACAACGACCATCATCGACGATCGTGTCGGACACGAAGACGGTCGTGCTCGATACGATGGCGGTCGTGTTCGACACGACAACGGCCGTGTTCGACACGACGTCGGTCACGACGACGGCCGTGCACGACAACAAGTCGGACACGACGACGAGCGTGTTCGACACGGCGACGGCCGTGTTCGATACGATGGGGATCGTGCTCGACCCGACGCCGATCGTGTTCGACACGACAACCAGCGTGTTCGACACGACAAGGATCGTGCTCGACACGATGACCATCATGTTCGACACGACGATGACCGTGTCGGAAACGACGACGATCGTGTTTGACATGACGCCCAGCGTGTTCGACACGACAACGATCGTGTTCAACACGACGACCGTCGTGTTTGACACGACGACCAGCGTGTCGGACACGACAACGATCGTGTTCAACACGACGCC